ATTCTTCAATCTGTATTGTTTAATTTTTCGATTCCCCCGTACGAAGAACGGGTATACCAGCTAGTACAATATATAAAAATTCAAATTGAAATTAGGATTAAAACTACTAACAACTATTCATTGCTATTTGATAACAAGAGTACACGTTTATTAAGAACAGGATCAAAAATGCTATCATCAGTAGATGTGTTAGATATGTCTAGCACAATTTGCGTTTTGATTGAAGTAAGAATTTCATTCGTCCATTCAAGACCGATGGAAGGGGATGGAGGGGGGTAGACCCGGGGACCTCCCTCCCCTTGTGTGTGCCACTGATGCTAATTAAATATATAACAGTATAATATTTGTACACATATATAGAGCATTGCTATACTTCACAAAAAAAATACTTTGAAAAGTGCTATTATTTCAGCGGTGATTAAATATACAATATTGCTACAACATTTCACTCACAAAAATATTATAATAAAAATAGGAATTAAATTTATAGATTTGTTAACATATTTTTAAAAAGTATTTCTAAAAACATTATTAACATAAAATTTTTATTAAAGTTGTGTTTTACTGCACTTAAAGAAGTACTATCAAAAGAATTGTTATAATCTCCCCACGTTAGATATCTAAGAATGTTGTATTTTGTTTTAAAGAAATATGAAAAATTCTCTAAATAACATGCAAATTTTTTAATTCAAACACGTAATTAGATATTTCGTAAACTAATTCACATTCTTATCAAATAATTATTATGTTTTTGCATAATTACTTAAATTTATAAAAAATATATTAGAGATGTTATTTTTGGTGTTAGAAAATATTTTTTCACCTTTAATAATTATATATATATATAATTCATTTTTATGCTCAACAGAACACTTACAATTAATGCTACAATTCAAACAATCTGATAAATAATACTATTATTTCTCTTTTATTTTTACGTTTCCGTACTGGTAACAAATAATATAAAAATATATTTTTTTAAGTCAATTCCTACTTAAGTCAACAAAGAAAATTTTTATTTTAGTAACTTTTTATTAAATAATTACAATTAATATATAAATATGTATATACATATGACAGAATCCCAATATTAAGAGACAAAATGAAAAGCGATTTTCCCTGCAATTTTCCATTTTTCTTTCTACATATATAGTGTTAGACTACTTTTTTTCATTACTTTTATTCATTAACTAAATTTAATTATTCTAATAAAATAGTATAATAAATATAGAAACCACCTTCTTAGAAATTATGCCATTTCAGGTGGGATTCGAACGCACGACCTTTAGAGTAGAATTCCAACGCGCTATCCAGTGCGCTGTAGGGACATTGCGCGAAGGGGTTTCCTTCCTATACATGCATTTGGAATATTATTTTTGTTTGTAACTATTTATTCATTTTTTAAAATTTGATTAACGAATTTATATTTGAAACAACTGTATTAACATCAAGTGTGTCATCCAATACAAGTTTTAAAAAAGTATTTGAACTTGAATGGATGAATAAAAAGTATTTTATTAACGATTGAAAATTTGAACAAGATGTATATATATATATATATATATATATATATATATAGGAAGAGATTGAACTTATAGTAGGAATTGAAAATAGAGTTTTAAAAATAATCTCTTACTTAGTATTCTTAATTAATCAATGTAGAGTATAATGTATCACAATTTACTTTTCATACTGTCTTTAACTGAAAGTGATCATTTGTAGAACTTTGAACAAAGAAAAGTTGACTTCCATATTTATTCAGATGCAATCCTTCCATTGAGAAATACGTAATTATGGTAAATAGTATGGTAATTAATTGTGGTATGGTAATTAATAGTATGGTAATTAATTTTATGGTAATTAATCAAATTTTGCATTTTAAAATGATCCTCGTAGTTGTTTCGAACCAAAATCATTAAAGTAATTTTAGAATGTAATTAATTTTTGTTGTTATAAAAATAATTGCTTTTGAAATTAGAATAAAGATATTTAAGTGATTGTCATGATTCTGCATTTGCGTATAAGCTTCCCCCATTACTTATTAACTAAAATTACTGATGTAGAAAGAAAAGCAACTTGATCTCGCCTATTTTTATCTTAATTTAAAACTGCTTTGGACATGACTACTGTTTTCCTATTTATCAATCATGAGACGGACTTCAAATGAGACTTGCTGATTCTTAAAATAATTTTAAACTGTTTACTTTCAACAGATTGTTGGAAAATCAGCAGACATCATGCATTTCTACACCCATTGAAACAAACAACGGCTTGTAATTTGAGAAAATGTAATTGACATTCCTTCCTGATCAAATTCCATTGCAAGTTCGTTTCGCTTTAATTGAATATAAATGAAACTTAAATGTACAACGTGTGTTTGCCTGCCACACGGGACTAATAAGGACTCCTGGTTTTAAAACTCAACGATTACTATTTTTCGAGGAACGATTTAAACCAGGTGTAGGCAGACTTTTACATGACTCGGTCTACTTCTAAATTTTTTTCAAGGTGTTGTGGTCTCTCTACTCTGTGACGTAGGTGTGATAAGTAAAAAAAAAGCTCAACAACATTATTATATTATAACAATTAAAGAGGTCTAACAAACTCTCTGGTAGGGGAGTGTGTCCAAATGAAGTGGTACTCTTATCCGGTAGGATAGAACCCGGGACCTTTGGATCCGAAACCAAGTAACTTAACCACTACACCAAAAGGATCACAATCGTGCGGAGGTTGTTACTGGCTTATATAGATTATATCACTACACACAATAATATAGATATAGAATTGTACTTGCCTGCATAACTACAATAAAAAAACTAACAGTTTTAAAACTGCGTTTTAAGTAAAACTCAAAATACAAACATAATAATTATACCACAAATTTAATATCCAATGATGCATTTATTATCAAACAATTCAAAAGACAACAAAAAATAAATCATTTTTATTTAAAAAGTTAAAGTCTCAGCAGAAGATTTACCTATCTTGAATATCTCGGTGTATAATTACTAACTGTTAATCTTGCAATAGATTCTAAGTGGTCGTCTGTAAAACGGAAATGATACTTTTTTTAATAACATCCATCTTTGAAAATGTAGATTCACAGAGGAAGATAGAGCGAAAGAACGATGTTAAATGAATAGCAGCTTTTTTAAATTAAGATACATTACTTCTCGTGTTATTCCAAAAGTTATTCTTTTAAAATTGCGTCCTTTTAAAGGAGAAAAATTTTGTGTTTCAAGAGAGATAAAGCGAATATTTAACGTATTTCTCTTTCCACCATTTTGCTTTGCTGAGCTTGTCATGACTTTAGTCACCATACCTCTAGAAACTGAGTTTTTTCAGTCACATTTGTTTCAGCTAGCAGGGCTCCCACTATCTGACCTCTGAAAATCTGAGAGATCTAACATTTTATGATTTTGAAAAAATCCAAGTCTTACATAGCTCCAATAAAGCTACAGAATACTACCAGAATATATACATTTCTATTTATAAAAAAATCTGGTAGCTATTATTATACTTATGCTAACGAAGTACATTCAAAAATATCACTTTTATTCACCGGTGTTTCCAGTATTTTGATAACCACCCGTGTTTCTTTTATTATGCACGTCTAACCTCTTATGTGAAGGCGGTCACCCCAAAATGTCTTGACGGTCCACTGGTCGATCGCGATCGACTTAATGCCCACCCCGGATTTAAACAAATGGCAGCAGCTTTGTGCAGCGACCTCTCCAAGCAAGTGACAGTACATCAACTGAATATTCCTCACAGATTATGTTACATAAACAACTTAAGACAAACCACATGTTGCCATCGGGCAAAAAATAAATACTGTCGATGGAGTTGATAAAAGACATGGCAATAAAATAGTTATTTTTCATAAAATACATAATAAATAAAAATTGTAAATAATAATAAGAATTTAATTGAAATTAAGTACCTCATATGAATGAACATACAAAGAAACAATTAATAATTTCAATATTTTATTAAATGAATTGGGTAAGAAAAGATAATTGCGCGATTCGAACTCTATCCGTCCGCGTATAAAGCAGGTGTTTTGACTACCGTCCCATTGGGTCGCTGGGGATATTTAAACTTAATTGTATAAAACCTAAGCATGAATTTCGAAGGCTATTTTCTCCGAATTGACAGGCCATTCGGGGCTAATACATTGAGGGTTGAACACCCTAATTGTGCACTACTATCATATCAAGTCTCGTCACAAAATGAATTTCCTTAGTCATGCCCTCCCCTAGTTAGACAAAAAATAACAAATAATGACAATTTGCTAGATATTAAAATACAATTAAAAGGTCACTAGTACTTATATCTAAACACTTTAATATTATTAAAGTACTACTTATATCTCAATAAACATATATAACACATCCCTCAATAAATCCCGGGCCTAACTTATAAAACAACAATTTTAGGCAAAATTGAACTTTATTTATCAAGATACTCCTCTCCAACTTCTAATTTTTAATACCTTTTTTGTAGAACGATTTGTCTTTGCTCTCGAAATAGGCTTCAACTTCGGCAATCACTTCTTCATTTGAACCAAACCTCTTCCCCTGCAGTATTCTTTTAAGATATAAAGGCAGCCAGTAGTCACTGGGAGCTAGATCTTGACTGTACGGGGGTTGAGAAAGTAATTCGAGTGCAATTCATTCAATTTGACCATTGTTTTCATGGACTTGTGTCAAGGAGCATTGTCTTGGTGAAACAGCACTTTTTTCTTTTGCATGTGAGGACGTCTTTTCTTTATTTTTCATTCGGTTAATCTAATAACGCCATGTAATATTCACTATTAATTGTTTTGCCTTTCTCAAGGTAATCAATAAACAAAATTTCACGTGAATCTCATAATACGGACGTCATAACCTTGTTAGCTGACGTTTGAGTTTTTGGTCGCTTTGGACAGCTTTCACCGGCTGCTGTCCACTCAGTTGACGATCTTTTTGATTCAGACGTGTAGTAGTAGTGTAATGGATCCATGCTTCATCCATTGTCACATATCTACATAAAAAAGTCCTGCTCATTTCTTTTAAACAGCTCCAAACAACGTTCTATATCGTCGATGCGTTGTAGTTTTTGATCGACAAAGGGCAAACGCGGCACCCACCATGAATACAGCTTTCTCATTCACAAATGATCATGCAAAATAGTGAATAAACTGCCTTCTGATACCTTTAAATCCTTTACTATCTCACTCAACTTCAATTTACGATCCGCTAAAACGGTTTTATGGACTTTTTTGATGTTTTCTGGAACAACTGCAAAATTTAGGCGACTTGAACGTTCAGTGTCGGGGGGGGGGTTGTATCTGTGTGACCAAGTTTTAAGTCTGCATACCACCTTTTAACCCTTGTTTGCGATGGAGCAGAGTCCGAATAATACTTATCAAGCCATTGTTTTGCTTGAACAGTGTTTTTCTACATCAAAAAGTTAAGTTTAATTAACGCACAAAATTTTTTTATACCCTGGTTTCTAAGCAAACAAAAGTTGCTTCACTCAAACCACTGTAACTTTTCAACTGAACAAGATATTATCACGAAATTTTGTCACGTGCCGTTTGAAAGTTAGTACTATTAGGATTAGCTTACGAAAGTTAGAACGTAGCTCCATCTATATGTTAGGCCGGGACTTATTGAGTGATGTGTTATTATTACAATATTCGCAAGTCGGGCTAAAAAGTTACGACATTAAAAATTATGCAAATACATAAAATATTCTGATTGACTTGATAATGTAATGATTTGCTATGTTTTTTTTCTATCACTAATTTATCGTTTAAATAGTTATGCAATAGTTATGCTCTGTACAACTCATTCTTTCTGCAACAGATATGTGAGAGGTTTTTCCAAGCATTTCCATTTTTGTATTCGAAAGCGATTTTAAAGATTTCTGAAATCACTGAGATTGAGATGAAAAGAGCCTAGCGTATTACCGAAATCTGAAAGGATAGTGCGATAGAAGTGAGCCATCGATATCTTGAAATAAATGTGGCTGGAAGAAACTCTTGAACTCTTAAGTGACAAGTGAAAAAAATTGCAAAAAAAGGAAAACAAGGGTTTAACTCGTGGCAGTCTTTTACAAAAATGATAGAAACATTTCATTATGTATAATACAACTTAAAACAAAAAGGAACGGGACTTTACAGTTGCAGTCTTAAGAAAACCACTTCTTTTGACGATTATTCGAAGAAAACTTCCTATTGCATCGTCAGACGTTGCCCTCGTGCCATTGTTTGCAAAAGTTTTAAAAATAATCGGAAGAATCCAGAAACACGAGCAAAACTAAAACTACACAAAAT